TTACAAATCCCTCTCTCACTATAAACAAGTCATCCCAGTTACAAACCAACATCTCACTACAAATAAGTCATCTCAGTTACAAACCAACATCTCACTACTTCTTCAGTAAGGGTAAGGCTGGCTTGATCTCCATGATCAAAAGGGCATAAAAGCATTCATGTCACTACTTTTCCAGTAAGGGTAAGGTTGATTTGATCTCCATGATCAAAAGGGTATAATCATTCATACATGTCATATTAGCCTAAACATTAAATTTCTTCATATATTGGCTTTATTTGTATTTTATGATGTATAGTAATTTATTTAATGTGTTCATGAGATTCAACACTGCAGATTTAGACAGGATCCCTTGCAGGTTCATTAAGGAACGTTGAGGCCAAAACACAAATGGCCAAAAGCCAAAAGCCAAATGGCCAAAACAGAACAGTTTACACATGACACCAATACATGGCGAGACAGACATCCTGAGAAGGTTAAGGACGTTGAGTCCAGAACACAAATGGCCAAAAGCCAAAACACAAATGACCAAAACAAAAAAGTTTACACATGACGCCAATAGTTCTTTCACCCCTCCAATCAGGCTCGTATACTCCTAAACTCTCTCTATGTTCCTTTAATTAATTAATCGTTATTATTTTTATTAATCACTAACCAATTAACATTTTTTCCTAATAAAATCAAAATCACAAAAAATATTTTATTTATTAAAATTAACTTCATCACTTTTATTTTTGTAAATAAATTAATTTAATCAATTTAGCTTTAATTAGATTTAACTTTTAATATTTTTTGCAATGTTTAAAATCAATTTAGAATATTAGGTTTTTATTAGCATTAATTCAATTTGTTTTATTTCTTTAAAAAAACTCAAAAATCCAAAAATATTTTCATTATTTAATTTAATTTAATTGTTCATTTAATTTAATTCCATTTAATTCAAAAATAACCAAAAAAATCAATTTCTTTCAAAAAAGGGTCAAAACCCCAAAAAACTCGCATCCGATTTAATTTCCCGCACGCGATCCATTTTTCCATATTATTGTACTTGCTTCCGGAATGTAATAACTTTAATTAGGACTTTATTTATTTATTGCTTTATTTTACTTTCCGCAATTTAAATTAAAGGGTTTGTTTTTGGCGATGTAAATACCCGACGCCTTGTAATAGCGTAGTTTTACTTTCCGCAACTATTAATTTCTAGATGTATGTTAATTAGACTATGCATGACAAGATTTATCCTTAAAATAAAATCAATCGTAGCTCACCATAACATGTACAAAGATAACATAAACTGAAACTCGACACACTCGCACATGCCACTCTTAGGGTACGCCTCATTTGGTTGCCTCGACGTGGTCATTGAGTATAGGGTGTTTTAGAGGTCGCCCTCTTGTCTAAAGATCCAAGTTGCCTCGAAACGGTTGCCTCGGATAAAAAAGATCTAAGACATTAGGGTTACCGCTAAGGCGTCCTACTATTGCTTTGGTGACCACACATGTCCCTATAATCGAATTGACCCGAATAACTCCAACGACGGTGCTACCTACTTCTCAATAGTGGGATAGTACTGTCTAAAGGACTTTTACACAGCTTAATTCCTTAGAGTAGGTAGATTTCTCCTGGGTACTTGCTCTTTCAAGACAAAAAAACTACTTTTCGCACCTACACTTTCAAAAAAGTTTTCAAACAAATACTTCATACACTCTTGAGGACTGATACAAGAGTTACCTAGAATTTTTCAAACTAAACTTTTTCAAAACCCACACACACTTGAAAAGCAAACAATTTTTGAAAACATAGTGAGAAAGTACCTAAGAGCCCGTGGATAACCACAGATAGAAAGGGTTCTAACACCTTCACTTTCTATAAATCTACCTCCCGAACCGAGAAACATTCTCAAAGAAGGAATTTTGCTGTGCTTTTGTCCTTTCCATGTTGGTGAACATAAAAGACGGTGGCAACTCTTGCTTACCGCGACATTTCACGAACCAGCTTTAAAAACAGTCAGTTCTATTTCCACCGATCACATATGGTTTCTACCATATCTCTAACATATATGGTACATACATTGTTATTGAATGGCCTTAGATAGGTGTGACTTCTACATAAATCCACTTATGATTGCTTAACATAGTACTAAATTTTTCCCGAACCAGAAAATGATTATTTGTGGAACAAAATTTATGTTTGAATGTCCAACTATAGTTGATTGAATATTTTAGATCCAATACCTTTGAAACTTGTTATTAGGAGACTTTGATTTTATCAATCCTCTAATGATTTTTCATTAATCTTAGTCCAAGATCATCATTCCATCATCATTGATCATACCTTTGACCATTAACTTCTAACTTCTAACTCATTAACAATTAATTTTACTTTATGCTTTTACTTTATACATTTATTTTATGTCTTTACTTGTATGCACTTTTATCTTTAGCATTTACATCTCATGATATTTGCCTTTTGTTCATTTGAACATTTATCTTTATGCTATTTTATCTTTGCTCACTTGAGCATTTATTTTATGTCATTTTTATCTTTACTCATTTGAGCTTTATTTATTTATTTTAAAGACACTTAATAACCAACTTTAACATTAAAAGACTTAAGGCTCTTTATGAATTATTGGTTATTATCCTTGGCATATTGGAGTTGTGGACTTCTTGGACTTAAGATTATAAGCTTTGATACTTTGAGACCTTGAGGCATCTGGATCTTGTGTTGTCTTATTGTTATTTTGCTTGTATTGAGAAAAAATTTATTTGCAGGTGTTGTTATGTTGGTCTTAAGTGATCTATATGGCACATGAATAAATATTGAAGACCTTGTTTCGGGTTTTAATATCTTGGATTTCTTTGATACTTCTTTTCTTGTGATTTATTTTCACATTGATGATTGATATGCTTTTGGTCTATTCTATAATTGTGGTTTTAATTCAAAGGATGAGAGATCTACATTGACTTCATTGTGCTGACTTCTTGTTTGGTTAGACCTTTCCTACCTTAGCTTTTACTATATGCTTTAGGATAGTCTGTTCATCTCCTATCATCTTCTTTAATTTCAAAATCTTCTCCCTCCTTTTCAAAATTCTTCTTGTTTTCAAACTTGAACCGCTTTCATAATAAACTAGGACTTATGTCTATGCATTTTCAAAACCTTTTTCTTAATCAAACCTTAATCAATTTAATCATACTTTGACATCTTTTGAAAGACTAAAAGTCACTAACCTCATTCAATTTTGTTGTGCCTTAGTGCACTTTTTCTTTTAATCTTTTCAAAACTTTTAAGACATAAGTATTTTCTTTGAGTGTTTGCAAATCTCTCCACTTTAACAAATATGGTAACATTAAAGTAACTTTCCACTTGTATGATGAGACTTGCATTGTTGAGTTGGTCCAGGCTATAATTTCTCCAATTTTTCAGTTGAAGCTAAGCAAGTTCTCTTTTTACCATGATTGTCATAGTTTATTGGTCTTCCACTCAGATAAGATGAAATGTCTTTTACATTAAAATCAATCATAACAAATCAATTTTGGTATTTTTTACCCGAACTACATGGATTTTGATTTCAACATTACACATTGTTGGTATGTAGGTCTAGAGCTCATTGGAAGCTTATCAAATAAAAAATTGTAAAAAATACTTATTTTCTCAACTCCATAATCTTTTTGTAAGTATTTCTTTTTAGCCAAATATGTAGATTTTCAAAGAGGTTCCTGCGGAGTACCATAGATGTTTAGGGTGCTAATACCTTCCCTTTGTATAACCAACCCCCTTGCCTTGATCTCTATTTTACTTTGGATTTTATTCGCTCTTTTCCCATTCCTTTGAAACAATAAAGTGCGATAGCAATTTTCACTTGTGAGTTAATTCAATCAATGACTTAGTCTCAAAATTTTATCGTTACATATCTCAACTAATATTACAATCTCAAACTTTAGACTGTAGAGACGAGAGCTTATCTGTCTGATCTTTCCAGCCTTATTTAGCCCCGTAATATGCCAAAAGACAATCATTGATTGTTGTTTAGAGCCATAGTGGAGTTGTCCCAATCCCCTAGTGGTCCAAACTCATTTGTGCAAGCCAAATCCAATTTTGTAGGTTCAATCACGACCTTCTTCCCCTTGTCTTTACTTTTTTCCTGCCATTTGATTTTTGCCTCATCTCAGTCACTTTTTCTTCAGTTTTGTTTTTGTTTTGAATTGCGGCTTTGGTTGTCGCAGTTGCCCCGTTTGACTCTTTCACTATTGGTCTTCATTGCTTGGTTGTGGGTTTGTTTCTAACTATTTCCCTCTTGCATTTGTGATCCAGTTTTTGGCATGTTTCACAATAGGGTAGCTTCCACTCATATTCAACATTTTGATTTATCTGCTTGCCCTCATGGTCTTTGATTGTGAAAACTTCCCTCAGCTTATGTGTTACATGGCGGCTTGAGCCTGATTGCTGTCAAATAATACATAACCAGATATTGGAACCAAGTCCAACTTACTACAATGAAGAAGGATTTTTCATCATGCGGTTCAAGACATTTAAAGACAGAGATGAAAGTCTAATAAAGGGGCCATATACCATTCATTAGATGCCCATGACCATAATTCATTAAATGTAAGAATCTTTTTGTCCAACTTAATGAAATTGATTGTTTTTTCTAATCTTATATCATCAAGTGTGCTACTGCTACAAACCTTAATTGATGGAACTAATTATCGCAAAGTTTATGATTCGTATATGAGTTTTCAATTCAAACAAATAAATTATTATCAATTATTATAAATTACTATATAATTGCTCCATAACCGATTTTATCCTTACATTTTTTTATGGCAAATTCTTATTACCTAATAAATAGTTGGATACCTTTAGTGCAAACTACTAAAAAAATTTAAAATAAATTAAAATAAAAAAATGACGTGGTAAAAAGTTATACTTAGAGGTACCAGTACACAATTAAATTCTAGGGTTTCAGAATCTTCACAGTTTATTCTATAACGGCAGTGATGAATGGTGGCAACTTGAAGAAACATCGTGTGCTTAAGGATGATAATTCATTGAAATGGTTAAATCTTCCTCCAGAAATATGGTTAGTTATAATATCCAAAAACCTAAACAATACATTTGATGTTATTCGATTCCGTAGTGTTTGTAGTGTATGGCGATCTCTTATTCCTCCTAGGTTTTTGTCTTCCTCTTGCACACATTTAATTCCAGATGGTAAATTTTTGCTATTCATCCAAACTAAAATATATTGGCTAGAATCTTCATGTTTGTCTAATAAAGGGTACATCATAAAGGTTGAAGAATCAAAATCGGGGAAATTTCGTCACTTAGATGTTTTGACCAACACTCACATCTCACATAAACATCCGTTTAATGTGATAGATTTGATGAACTTGCGAGTTAAGGAATTGTGTCAATCATATACTATCAATTATTCTAAAGATGGAGGTGACTTTACTAAATTCAAGCCTCTTGATGAAGTTTATAAAGTAGTGTTGTTTCATGAGGAGGGTTTAGGTCAAATGGTGTTTGCCCTATATAAAGATCGAAAATTGCATGTTTCAAATATTGATTATAACAATTTTATGATAGTGGATGATGGGAGTAGAGTTTATGATGATATAATTCTACATATGGGAAAGATTTATGTCGTGGATAATAGTGGAATTATTTTTTGGATCGATTGTTCATCTTTTAAGTTGGTTCAGTATTCACCGTCTTTAAATTCTGATGGTTTAAAGAAAAAGAATTTGGTGACATCAAAGAGAAGTCTCTTTGTGGTTGAATTGTATTTGAAAAGAACTAAAGGGAATATTTGCAAATTATACATTGATGTCAATCTTTTAAGGGTTGGTGAAAATTCAAGTGAGTGGATTTGTGTTAGAGACTTGGGTGATGCTTTGTTTGTTTTGGGCAAAGACTCAAACTTTTCATTGATAGCTGAAGATTATCATGGATTTGAAAGGAGTTGCATCTACTTCGACTGTAAAGGGAAGACTTCTTGTTACAATTTGAAGACTTCAAGACTTAAGATTGTTGATGGCATATTTGGATCTTGTCCAACTTTGTTCAAGTGTGGCAATAAAAATTGAGTGTGATGCAGATCATATTGTTTGAATTAATTCTATTTGCTTTTATGAATAGTAAATTTTATTAGGTTTAAATATTGAGTCTAGTTGTTTCTTACAAAGTCACTTGGTAAGGTTGTGGAATTATCACTTTGTAAATGATTTTATTCTTATTTATATTTAAGGAGATTTTGATTTTGATTTTCAATTAACTTAGAGAAGGTATTGTTAAGTTACCCAATTATTCTGCAAATTTTTATTTCAATTGTAAATTTCTTATTACATGCACAAGGAATGATATAGGAGTAGACCTATGGACCAAAGGGTTTCTGGACCAAACTGTTTAACGGATTTTTAACCACTTGTTTTAAATTTAAAAATTATTTTTGAGAATTTCTTAATACACCATATGCATTGGCACATCATGTGAAATTATAATTATGCTTCTAATTTTTAATTTTTAAAGATGTATCTTTAGACGCATTCAAAAACTTACAATCAAAGTTAATTTTGAAAAACATACCTAATGTTTTTGTTTATTTTGCATTCAAAGAAACATCTCCAAAAACTGTACCAAGATGCATTCTGTATTATACTTAAGTAGAAAGGCAGAAAAACTAGAAAGGTGTAGGTTGACAAAATAAAATTCCATTAATAACACAAAAAAAAGCAGTACATAGGTTTGCAACACTTCTGATTATGGAGAGAGAGCAAGAGAGAGAAAGAACGGAAGAGATAACGCAGATGTTCATGAAGATCTTGGATGGACACTGGTTTCGCAGCGAAGAGAGCGCAATCGGCAACAGCTGGTAACATTCTATGTGACAACAAACCCTCAAACTCTACTTCGTTCCTCTCCCATGTCCGTCCTTCCCAAACCAGAGAAAACCACCATCCTTGTCCTCAACGTCGACGCCTTCACCAGTGCTGTAATGAGCGACGTTCATTTACCACTTCAGCTTTAGGAGCAACAAAACCCTCCCGAATCAACTTCAACTCCGTTAGTCTCTGAAATCCATACCTTCTGGAAAGCTGGTGATTATGTTGTTGGCCCTACTTCTAAGCACAAAATTCTATTTGTGTAATCAAAATTGTTAGTGACTTAGAATCTGTTTGGCAAGCACAAAAAACAAACCTATAGCTTATAATTCTTTTGTGACAACTATTGACATAATTTCTCATTGTCTGCAGCAATTACTGAGCTAGTGGATAATGATGTTGATGAGGTATGATTTAAGTCAATGTAAAAAATTTGTTGATTGTTTGTTGCTAGCGTAAGTGGTCTCTTAGTTTGCTTTATGTGATGACATTTAATATTGACATGAGTACACACTTGTCATTAAGGATCTGTTGAAAATATTAAATTTGATTTTGGCCTAAATTTATTAATTGGCTTTTGGGCTTAGTTATTTTGGGCTTAAGTAGTTTTCTAGAGAATTCTTGTAATATATGGAATATCTAGATATTTCTTATAATTGTAATATTTTTTAGAATGGTCTTTGGATCTCTAGAGTTGAGAACTCTCTAGAATTAGTGTGTTTAGAGTTCTCCTTAGAGTACAATAAATAGAGATATAATCCCACACATTTGTATCAAGCAAAAATACAAAGTTCTTCTCCTCCATAAAGAATTATCCTACTTATCAAATTTATATTCAAACCTTCAATATTGCCACACACTTCTCCTTAACATAAAAGGTCTTATTTTCAACAAAGTGGTATCAGAGCTTCAAGATCCACAAAATGGCGAATGGTGGTTTCCCTTTCCAAATGCCGATGGTCACAAAGAACAACTATGATAATTGGAGTATCAAGATGAAGGCGCTACTAGGAGCTCAAGATGTGTGGGATATTGTTGAGAAAGGCTTCAAGGATCAAGATGAATCCTCGCTAAGTCAAGGTGTAAGAGAGACATTGAAGGAGTCAAGAAAGAGAGACAAGAAAGCTCTCTTTCTCATTTATCAATCGGTAGATGACGATACGTTTGAGAAGATATACAACACAACAACGGCCAAAGAAGCATGGGACAAGCTTCAAACTTGCAACAAAGGAGTTGAGCAGGTAAAAAAGATTCGTCTTCAAACTCTTAGAGGTGACTTCGAACGTTTATTTATGGAGGAGTCTGAGTCAATTTTATATTATTTTTCTCGAGTTTTGGTTGTAGTCAATCAACTTAAGAGAAATGGTGAAGATGTTGATGATGTGAAAGTCTTGGAGAAAATACTTCGCACTTTAAATCCAAGTTTTGACTTCATTGTTACCAACATTGAAGAAAATAAGGATCTAAAGACCATTCCTATTGAGCAACTCATGGGTTCCTTACAAGCATACGAAGAAAAACAAAAGAGAAAAATTAAACAAAAGGAGGCTATGGAGCAATTACTACAACTCAACATAAAGGAAGCAAACTATGCGAATTACAAGAGTCAAAGAGGACGAGGTCGTAGCCAATATCGTGGGCGTGGACGAGGACATGGAGGAGAAGGAAGAGGTGGTTGCAATAACTACTCCAACAAATTCAACAATGGAGAAAGAAGTTGGAATCCACAAGCAACAAGAGGTCGTGGAAGAGGAACCTCATGGTCGAGGAGCAATAAATCACAAGTCAAATGTTTCAACTGCAACAAGATTGGTCATTATGTAACCGAGTGTAGATTCTCGAAGAAGGTGGAAGATAAAGCTAATTTTGTAGAAGAAAAAGGTGGAGAAGAAGAAACTTTGCTACTCGCTTGTCAAAACGAAGTTAAAGAGAAAAGAAATAAGTGGTACTTGGACACTGGCGCAAGCAACCACATGTGTGGCGATCAAAGCATGTTCGTAGAGATCAATGAAGCGGCAACTGGTGATGTATCATTTGGAGATGACTCAAAGACACCGGTCAAAGGCAAAGGTAAAATTCTCATACGCTTGAAGAATGGGAGTCATCAATTCATATCCAATGTCTATTATGTTCCTAACATGAAGAATAATATTTTGAGTTTGGGACAATTATTAGAGAAAGGCTATGACATCCACTTAAAAGAACATAGTCTTTTCTTAAGAGATTGTAGTCGTAACTTGATTGTTAAAGTGCCTATGTCAAAAAATAGAATGTTCCTCTTGAACATTCAAAATGACGTAGCAAAGTGTCTCAAGGCTTGCTATACCGATTCTTCATGGCTATGGCATCTACGATTCGGGAACCTCAACTTCGATGGTCTAAAACGTTTGTCGAAGAAAGAGATGGTGAGAGGCTTGCCTAGGATTAACCACCCAGTCCAACTCTGTGAAGGATGTCTAATTGGGAAGCAATTCTGAAAAGTTTTCCAAAGGAATCAACGTCAAGAGCGACAAATCTAGTAGAGCTCATACACATGGATGTTTGTGGACCAATCAAACCCAACTCGTTTGGTAAGAATAAATACTTTCTCCTCTTTATTGATGATTATTCCAGAAAAATATGGGTTTATTTCTTGAAGGAGAAGTCATAAGTATTTGACAACTTTAAGAAGTTCAAAGCCCTTGTGGAGAAAGAAAGTGGTATTTCCATCAAGGCCATGAGATCTGATCGAGGAGGGGAGTTCACTTCAAATGAGTTCAACAAATATTGTGAAGACAATGGAATCTGTCGCCCACTGATTGTGCCAAGATCGTCTCAACAAAATGGAATAGCAGAGAGAAAGAATCAGACTATACTTAACATGGTAGAAGCATGCTCAAGAGCAAGAAGATGCCGAAGGAGTTTTGGGCCGAAGCAGTGGCATGTGCAGTTTACTTGACAAATTGTTCCCCAACAATAAGTGTGCATGAAAAGACACTCCAAGAAGCATGGAGTGGAAGGAAACCTGAGATCTCTCACCTCAAAGTATTTGGAAGCATTGCCTATACCCATGTTCCATATGAAAGAAGAACAAAGCTCGATGATAAAAGTGAGAAGTATGTGTTTGTGGGTTATGACTCAAGCTCTAAAGGGTACAAGCTTTATAACCCAAATAGTGGAAAGATCATCATAAGTCGTGATGTGGAGTTTGACGAAAAATATTATTGGGATTGGAGTGCTCAAGAAGATAAGTATGATTTTCTTCCTTACTTTGAAGAAGAAGAAGAAATGGAACAACCAATGATAGAGGAACATATTACACCACCTTCCTCACCGACACCAAGGTTGGATGAAACAAGTTCAAGTGAGAAGACACCACGACTAAGGAGCATTGAAGAGCTTTATGAGGTAACCGAAAACCAAAATGACATTAACATCTTTTGTCTTTTTGGTGATTGTGAGCCTCTAAGCTATCAAGAAGCGGTAGAAAACATAAAGTGGAGAGACTCCATGGACGAAGAAATCAAGTCTATCACGAAGAATGATACATGGGAACTTACTACACTTCCACAAGGACATAAAGCAATTGGAGTAAGATAGGTGTACAAGGAAAAGAAGAATGCAAAAGGAGATGTGGAGAGATACAAAGCAAGATTGGTGGCGAAAGGCTATAGTCAAAGACAAGGAATTGACTATGATGAGGTATTTGCTCCTGTTGCTCGTCTTGAAACTATTAGACTGATCATTTCCTTTGCAGTCCAAAATGAATGGAAGATCTATCAAATGGATGTGAAATCAGCCTTCTTGAATGGTTTTCTCGAAGAAGAAGTTTATATCGAGCAACCACTAGGCTATGAAGTAAAAGGGCAAGAAGAAAAAGTCTTGAAGTTGAAGAAGGCATTGTACGGTCTCAAGCAAGCACTGAGAGCTTAGAATGTTCGAATCGACAAGTACTTTCAAGACAAGAGCTTCATCAAGTGCCCATATGAGCATGCACTCTATATCAAAGCACAAAGTGGAGATATTTTAATTGTGTGCTTGTATGTAGATGACTTGATTTTCACAGGGAACAATCCAAGCATGTTCGAAGAGTTCAAGAAAGACATGTCAAATGAATTTGAGATGACAGATATGGGGTTCATGGCATATTATCTTGGCATCAAAGTAAAGCAAGAAGACAAAGGAATTTTCATCACCCAATAAGGCTATGCCAAAGAAGTTATTAA